TTTTTCCTTCATTTTCCCTGTAGAATTATGGCCATTGGGAGGCAGCTGGTGAATTTTGATCACAAGCTTTGAATTTATTGTTGTGTGTTTGTTGTCACAGTTTCAGTTCATTGGCGTTAAGTTATAGTATTTCAAATCTTTTGTTTCTTTCGATGAATTTTGCAGAATATGAGGGTTTTTTTTTTTAATTGGATCCACACCCATTTCTTCTTTTAGAACTAAAAACTGCAGGTAGATCTTGTTAGAGTGAAACAATTAGTCTTGAGTTTTAAATAATTTGTTTCGAAATTTGATTTTAGGCATGGAGAGCGATGATGAGATAAGACGAGTACCGGAGATTGGAGGTGAGACCACCGGCCCCACAACCTCTGGCCGCGAGGGTACTTCTGTCTTGGCCAAGCCCTCGGCCAGCGGTTCAAAGAGGAGAGGGAGAAGCCCAGCTGACAAAGAGAACAAGAGGTTGAAAAGGTAATTTAAGTTGAGTTAGGCCTATCTTATGGACTAATATTTTACCCACCTTATTAATGTGGTCCCCATCAATATACTTTGGTTCACCTTCAAAATTGACATCACTATATTTGAATTGCAATTGAAATGGACTGATCATGCACTTGGATTGTTTGGTTGGAGCTTTTGGGCGTGTTTTCGCAATCACACCCAAAGAGAAAGATATTAGCTTTAGGTTGAAAAAGTAAAGGTAAAGTGGCATTAGTTATTTCCTATGGCTTGTGTGATTGGCTTTCTGATGTTAGTTTAAGGTTTATGTGTTACTAAGCACTTCCACAATTTATTTGTGAACCGCCCTTGTGTTTTTCAATTAATTCAGTTAGTACAAGCTTCTATTTGCAAATACTACACTTTACGCCACTTATGCTATAACCAGTTGCTTATAGCATTTATCTTAGTTGCTTCTGTCAGGGTGGATTTTTTCATTTTTGTTCATGAATTGATATAATTGTTGTTGTGTTTGGGTGGAAAAGGTTATTGAGGAACAGAGTTTCAGCACAGCAAGCAAGGGAGAGGAAGAAGCAATACTTGATTGATCTGGAGGCTAGGGTTAAAGAGTTGGAAACTAATAATACCGAGCTTGGGGAGAAGGTTTCTACTTTGCAAAAGGAGAACCAAATGCTTAGACAGGTACCTGATTTTTCGTTCATGTCGCTATCATGAAACTAACTGATTAGGTACTCGTGGTAAGCTCTTGAGTCATTGTTGCTGAACAAGATAGGGCTTAGGCGACTGCCTTTGCTACAATTTGAATTAGTAGTTAATCGACCTCTCTTTAGGTGAGAATAAAGCAAGGGTGTATGAATCTTGGAAATGCTGGAATTCTCGTTTTGTTTATTTCTCATTGTCCATTTTTTGGAATCTGTTGTAAGACTAGAGATTCTGTTTTTGGTACAACCTTGAAATCAATTTCTCACAGCCTTTTAATACACTGTTTTTTTTTTTCCTCGAAAGGTATAATGCAGCATTGAGTGAATGGTCTGTGAATTTGTAACATAGTCTAATAGATTAAGCTCATCCGTGAAACACTCCTTGATTGTTGGGAACTTTATAGGGGCTGTAAAGAACAAAAATCCTTCACTTGTTGACAAGAATCATGATCGAATTCTTTTGTTGGTCATTAGTTGAGTTGTAATCTCAGGTAAAGTACATTCGAGTGCTTTTACTAGAACGTTGGTATTTTCTGATGATCTTTTTCCAGCGGAACCTACTCACTTTATAATAAAATGACTTTGTTTTTGCATTGTGATTTGCAGATACTGAAGAACACGACTACTAGCTCGCAAGAGGGGAGAAAATAGTTTGTTCGAGATACGATGAACGAGTCTTTGTGTGCTATGGGTCAGTTGGTTATCTTTTTGCTGGTTGATGCTGTATGCAGAAATTTATGTATTAGGGTGAATCAAGCTAATTGATATGGTGCGATTATCGTGTGATGATTTGACGAGCGTTTCATTATGGCTATGGTAGAATTCTGGTTTTGGGCTGTGTCTGCTTAGGTCTATTCCATCTTTCACTGAAGCTGACTTGAACGCTGGTGTTTACTGGGGATTTTTTCACTCTATTGGTTGTATGTAAAAATTTTCACTCAACTCAAAATCTGATGTAGAGAAGCGTACAAGTGGATGATATTAATGAGATGACAAACTCAAGAAAACCTTACGATATGAATTCATATTTTCATTCATAAACAACTAAGGAGCATAAATTACACGGAGACATTTAAATGAGGCTCTTAACCTTAAATTCTAACTTGTCCATTAAGTCAAGATAAATATAAAACAATTAATAATAATAGTCAATGCTAATAATAATAATAATAATAATAATAGTTTACACTAAAATATAATTCAATTTTAACTCAACTCTATTGTCCTCAATATTATCGCATTCTTGGTATGTTAATTGTCATGTTTTTCATACTTTTTCGGTGTTTCTTTCAGCTTAATTATTGAATTGAATTGATTTTTATAATTTTTGTAGGATATCTCGAAATTTGGAATTTTATGATGATTGGAGGGCGAAAGAGACGAGCTTGAGCTAAAGCGTGTACACGCTAAGTTCCTACAAGAGTCGGAAGAAGGAAGAAGTCTCGAGAAGTTGGAGAGAGAATAATTAAACCTTTAGGAGTATTTATTTATTTATGAACTATTATTATTTTATTATGATATTTTGGAGAGAGAAAGAACTCTTTATTATTTTCTACCGTATTTTCTGCTAGGATTAGGATTAGACTGGTTTTGATTAAAAACCAGACAATAGATTTATTTTGGATCGATCTCTTTTTCTCCCCCTCTACGCACGCCCGTTTCTCCTCTCTTCTCTTCTTCTCTTTTCTTCTTTTATTTTATTTTTCATGAATAATGGGGAGAATACTCTCATGTTTATGAAGAATTAATTTATTTTTCAGCCAAAGATTATTCTAGATTTGGTTCTTCGCTTTGTGAGATCTAATTGAATTTTTATACTCTATTCTCTTTTATTTATATATCTCTTGTGATTATTTCCAATTGCGTTTTGATTTGTTGATGCAAACTGGCCATTTGCTCGATTATTGAAATGCATATCGTTATTTAGAACAGTTAAATCCGTAATTGTTTGTTCGTCCTAATATTTGTGGCAAATAGCATAGTTGACTACTAAGGGTTTTCAATTGTATGCTTAGGAAGATATGATCTAGTTTAAATGATCCTACATGTGCGTTTGTTGGCTAGAATTGGTGGTCCTTCTAGATCTTTTTGCTGTTGATAGATTAAATCTTATGACCGTATCTAGGGTTGTCTGTTGATTAGAGAAATAATTAGAGATTGTTAGGTCTTACGAATAACCATAACCAATTTAATTGATCGAGTATGAGAATTATTTTTGCATCTGTGAGCGAATCGTTGAACCCTTTCTATGAGTTTTCTTTTGGTTGAATATTTTCTTTATTTTGAATCACTCGTTTTGTTTTCTTCTCTAGTTAGATTTTATTTTGTTTTAGTTTTCATAGTTCGATAAAATCATCAAAACCCTCATCATTTTTATTTTTATTTTTCTTTCAAGAATAGTTGCATCGATATTTTGTTAGCCAATCCCTGTGAATATGACCCTGCTTACCGTTACTACAATTATTTTAAAAGCAGGAATTTATTATTGTTGAATTCGACACCAATCAATTATTACACATCACATCTACTTTAATTCACTATTTATCCCTCACATAATTTTAACTAACAATCACTCCATATAATCTCTCTCATATTTTTAAATCAAATCAACTCCATATAATCTCTCTCATATTTTTATATCAAATCAATTTTAATTATTTTATTTTAAATATTATTTTAATATAAATTAAAAATCCACTAACAACTAACCATACTATATTTTTTAGATTAACTATGGTTAACAAAAAAATCTACTTTATATGAAATTTTTTATATCCAAACATGCTCCAAGTTACCTGTAGCAAGAAAAAAGTTGGCCTTCTAAGTTTGCAGCAATGAATATGATGGTGAATTCATTGTAGAAACTGTTTGGAGTTCAAGACAATGACTGGCTTTGTGTTTTATTAGATGAAATATATCGTTTTTGTGGAAAAGTGCGATTGTGTTGATAGACAAGCCAAGCGGATGTATTTGTTTATAAGTATATTCAATATAATTAACTTTTATACTCAAAGGGGTCGTTTGCATTGCAAGTTGGGATAAGATAAATAATCCAAGCCAACTTTACATGTCAGCACACAGTCCCTTGTTTACTTTTCATGTTGAGATTCGCATAAATGAATCGTTTACTTCCAAGGATTAAGTGACATGATACACAGGTCAAAGACCAAATTACCCTCATGTACAGAAAACTCGATTTCAGCCACCTCCCCCAAACACTGCACACATTTTCGAATGTCGCTAGCCCTAATTCGTGAGAAGGGCATCGCGACGACGAGAAGCGCCATCATTGCTCCCGACGAGAAGCCGCGATTTATTGACTAGAACCGTCGACGACGTTCTCCCGATATAGAGGGGCTTCACTTATACCGCACCGACGACCGTAAACTGAGGGGTAATAGCTTTTCCGTTAATTGTGTTTCCAAGTACTAGGCATTAGGGTTTTTCTTCTCACTTTTGACTTTTGCCTTTTTGCGTCAAATGGAAATTTCTTTGTTCTACGAACAATTGTTTGTTTGAGTTTGATTTCATAAAGTTTCTGACATATTGGGAATTTGAAATTGCAGTCAGTTTGTGACAAATTGAGAAGCCGCGATTTCTTGACTTCCACCGTCGACGACGTTCTTCCGAGATAGAGGGGCTTCACTTATACCGCACCGACGGGCGTACACTGATTTGTTATTCTTCTCATTTTCCAAGTACTAGGTAATTTGTTATTCTTCTCATTATCGACTTTTGTGTTTTTCCGTCAAATGGAAAATTCTTTGCTCTACGAACAATTGTTTGTTGGAGTTTGATTTCACTCAGTTTTTGCCAAATTGGGAATGTGAAATTGTATTGTGTTGTCTACACTACACAATTTGGAGTTTTTTTGTGATGTTTAAATCCAAAGATGTACACAAGTAACAAATGACTAATCACGTATGTTTAAATAAAGCAAAAAAATCTTGTGCAGTTGGACCACTTGTGTCCAAATATGTGTTGATGGATAGAATGTGTTTTTTCGGTAGTAGTTACTTCACTCTTTTGTATCTTTATTGGTGCTGGATGAGTTTGGGATATGCTTGATGCTACTATAAGCTTCCTTTGGGATATGCTTGTTGCTACTAGTTTGGGATGTGTTGTATGACGGTTTAAATTCTTATGCCTGAACACATTGTGGTTGACACTGCCTTCAAAGAATGGAGTGACTTCAAGAGCATCAGATATAAGTAGATGAAGTTATTGAGAAGTCAATATCCAGGTCCTTTGGTTCAGTGAATTTCTGCTCCTAATACTTTTTCTGCTATTTGCTTTATTATTTGGTCTACATTTTATCTGGTATTTGGTTTGTATTGTTTCTTGAGGAATCTGTTGTGCTGCTGCCTTCAGTGGATTGTTGGGATTAGTATTGTGTGAATTGGTAGTTCTTGGTATTTTGTATTATGTTTCGAGTATTGTAGTTAGGCTAGTTTATTGAGAAATATTCTCCCTTTCTGTTACTATTTCATTAGAACTAGTGGGTTAGCGGTTGTATCTATATGGACCATTTAAATTCGGTGTCATTAAATGGTGAATTATATGTTGCAAATTTGAGTATGTGAATCTCCAAGTGCCTGCTAAGCTTATTGTATTTTCTTGTTAATCTATACTCATTACTCATTGGATAATTTCTTAATGATTCAAACAACTTACCATTTTCTTATTACATGTGGTGTGGTGTTGGCTTAGTTATACAAACTGTAAATTTGATTGCCTTTAGCCTTGTTGTGTTAGACAAGGGTATACAAGCTATATATATTAGTTGCAGACATTTTTGGTATGGGGTAAATTGCACCAAACCCCCCTGTAATATACTAAATCTGCGAGTTTTCCCCCCGTAATTTAAAAATTGCGCCAAACCCCCTTCTATTGTATATCTGCGTGCATACTCGCCCTTTGATGTTAACACCGTTACTTTACTACTGACGGTGTTACTTTTTTGTCGAATTTACTATTATACCCTTACTTTATCGCTGAATTTACCATTATGCCATTACACCCTTATTTTATAACTGAATTTACCATTATGCCATTACTTTATCCTGAATTTACTATTATTCCATTATTGGCAAATAATATATATATTCTAAATTATATATAAAGAAAATAATATATATAACATATATATATAATGGTTAATGTATAATATATATTTTATATTATATTATATATATAATTTATATAATAACCGTTATATATATATATATATTATATATTATATATATAATTTAATATATAATATTATGTATATATAATTTATATAATGACCGTTATATAACTTAAATTAATATATATTATATATATAATATATAATATAATATATATAATAATATATATTAATTTATATATATATAATATATAATAATATATCATTATTATATATTATATATATATAATATATTATAAATATAATAATTTTTATAATATATATAATTTATATAATATATATAATTTCATATAATATTATATAATATTATAATTTATATATAATGGTTATTATATATATAATGGTTATTATATAATATTATTATAATATTATATTATATAATATTATATAATATTATAATATTGTATAATATTATAATATATTATAATGATATTATAATATTACACAATATAATATTATATGA